CCCAGAAATTTTATTGGGAGAATTACCAGTGAAGGATAGAGGGAAGGAAGTGGCTGTGCTAGAGAGAGCCTTCAGACCACAGCGCAGGGCTGACAACTATAAAAGCTAAGGGGGAAGGAAGGTAGATTGACCAAGAAAATCTTAAGACTGCAAGCAGTCTTAAGAAAGTTGTTTTTTAAACTTTTTTTCTAAATATTTATTTTTTTGAGAGAGAGAGACACACACACACACAGAGTGTGAACAGGGGAGGGGCAGAGAGAGAGACACAGAATCTGAAACAGGCTCCAGGCTCCAAGCTTTCAGCACAGAGCCCGATGTGGGGCTCGAACTCACAAACCATGAGATCATGACCTGAGCCAAAGTTGGACACTTAACTGACTGAGCCATTCAAGTGCCCTTTAAGAAAGTTTTGACCAAGCGTATGGGGAATCCTTGAGCCAAACCTGCCCATTAGAGGAATTCTGCATCTGTTAAGAATGGGTCTGCACGAATCCCCCTTCTGTGCTCACTGACTGGGAGGGAGCAGCCCTGGGGGAAATACAATCTCAGCATAAACGTAGTGGTGGACCTGGCAAGGCAACAGCCAAGGGTTTTGAAAGCCAACTTGTGCTCCTTATAGCAGGAGACTTGAGCAAGTTGTTTCCCAGGATGCTGCATGGGGTACTTGGGGTACTTACTAAGGGAGGAGATGATTCTTAATACCAGCTACACATATAGCCCATGCTCACCATTCCCTTCTCACTGCCATGTTTCAGAATATGTATCTTGTTATTATGTTAGTCTAGTTCTCTATGGCAGTTTCAAGATCTGAATGTGGCCTGTTCACCTAGATGAGCTGAGTGGAGTGGAAGAGAGCCAGGAGAGGGAGTGCAGATGTTGGCCTGGCCAAAAGGGTCCAGGCTGAGTGTCCCCAGAGACAGAGGCCTAGGAGAGGCCTTCTTACCTTTCCCAGAGAACATCTGCATTTCTGTGCACGCATGTGTATATGTGTGTGTGTGTGCGCTTCATTTTCTGCCATATCTTGAGACAGGGAATGCACACTGATGCCGAAGCAGAGAACAAAGTTGCAGCAAAATTGAGCGCGTCTCAATTGCTATTTTTTCTAAGAATGCCGGTGTTGATTCAAATTTAATGTTTCTACCTTAAAATAGGAATTGTATTATAAGTAGCATAACTCAAAATGAATTTTCATACAATGTTTATATTTTACGGAGTTATTAATCATCAGCTTTATTACTGTAGTTTCTTATTCCTAGATTAGATTGCAGGCCAGTCTCAGCCCCGTCCTGGTGCTCTGTAGCAACCGGAGACTGACGGACCCCTCAGGTTTTCTTTTGCAGATTAAGGATGTGAGGAGCCAGAGAGAAGCTGAATCCCTGGAGCTATTGTTGTGGCCTAAATTATGGAGGGATTCTGTGGTTCTCCAAAATACCAGCTGGGCCTCCCAGCCTGAAACCACCCAACACAGGTGATGGGAGACGCCTGGGCTGGTTTTCCAAGTCTCCTCACTCCCTGGCTGACAATAAACCTCTAAAGTAATCTGGGTACATGTATGACTTTTCCCTGACCAATCCTCAGTAGTTAAGGGTGAGAGATGAAGAGGACCTGAAGTGAGAAGTGGGTGGGGCTGGGGAAGGAAGCCCATTACTTGGTGACTGAATGTTGTAGGATAAAGAGAAGACAGGGAAAGTTCCCAGGTTTTCTGTTTGGGGCTGTGGGGGGTGTGTGTGTGTGTGTGTGTGTGTGTGTGTGTGTGTGTGTGTGCGGGGGGTGGGGGGATGAATGTACCATCAGCAGAGGTAGAGAATATAGGAGAAGAGGCAGGTTTGGAGAAGATTTGCAAATTCATTTGGAGCAGGTTGGGTTCGAGTTGCCTGTGGGAACTCTTGGGACACATCTCTAGCAGGAAGCTAGAGGTGTATTCTGGTTATTTATTGCTACCTGACAAACTACCACAAAACTGAGTGGTTTAACACAACACTTACTTATTTGCCCACAATTCTTCAATTTGGGCACGGTGGAGAATAGCTCGTCTCTGCTCCATGTGGTGTCAGCTGGGGCAGCTTGATGGGACTGGAGAATCCACTTCCAAGGTGGCTCACTCACATGTGTGGCGAGTTGGTGCTGTACCCAGTGGGAGCACATCTTAGGGCTCTTAGCCAGGGGGCTCAGGTTTCTTCTCTTTGGCCTCTCGAAATGGCTGGGTTAGGCTTCTGACATCACAGTAGTCTCAGAGTAGTTAGATTTCTCACCTGGCACTTCCTCCCAAGGGCAAAAATGGAAGCTGTTGTCAAAAACAAAAACAGAACAAACAAGGAAAAGAGATTTTATGCAGACTGTTGCAAAGGAGAGAGTATCCAGATTTGAAGGTCGGAGTATGATCTAAAAGTACCTTGAACTTTTAAAGAGAGTAGACAGGTGACCAATGGATGATTATAGTTGTGAGATAGGGAATCTGAAGGGACCTCATGAAAGATGGCTTTTTTGCTGCCTCTATTCTTGCTACACCCCCCACCCTACACATGTCTTGTGGTACACATAATGTACGTCCTCCTTGCAAAGGTCAAGGATTCAGTGATTTCTTTGGAGTCATAAATGACTTATGAAGGACACTTAAATACTCATCTTTATTCCTGGGTGCCTGGGAAGACATATACACAAGACCACAATTCTCAGTAAAATCACAGATCCCAAATAAAGATGAGTCTCATTTTTTTTCCCCTTTCTGAGACTCCCAGATGATGTCTGCACTCTTTCTGTGCCTTCAGTAATCTCTGCTCTCACTTCCTCTTGGCTTATGTTTGATTTCTAACCTGTGCAAAGCCAAAGACCCTCTTGGCTGGTCTTGTGGGACCTCTTTTGGGTCCTTGGATCCAGCCAGCCTGCATCAGTTAGAATTGTTTGGTAATTGGGGGATGTTTTAATCAGCCAGGATGCGTTTATAACTGTGTCTATCTAATTTTAAGGGGACAAACAACTCTACTCTCAGCTAATCATCCATGAGACAAAGGAAGTTGAAGAGTTTGTGCTTGGCCTTGTCAACAAGTTTAGGCAAAAAAGGAAACATCTGTATTTGGCCTAATCACAAGTGAACAAGGAGTCATCTGCTAGTCTTATGTGAGAGTGAACAAAGAATTTCATCCAAGTCACACAGGGAAGGGTGGTAAGCCTTTTTTTGTGGTAAACCATTTCCCAGAACACAAACAGGTGTGTGGGTGGGTGGGTGGAGGGGGAGGGCGGATTTCTTAATCATTTCAGTTTTCCATGAGTATAGTTTCCAGTAAATTTCAATGTTGTCACTGCAAAGTCTTGTTAGGCTTCAGTCATTTTTGCCTCATTCTTTTGTTTAAAGAAGTAACAGATCCAGCCCACATTCAAAGGTAGAGTTTTACACAAGGGCATAGATATTGGGGAGGCATGGTTCGGGCCACTACAATACAGTCTCTCATAGAGTCTGAACCTTTGACTGGATATTTAGAATACAATACTAGCATATTGTAGGGGGGTAGCTGCAACCAACAGGTAGGATCACTGGGTATGTGCATACACTGGTAAATGTAGAAAAGAGTCCACCAACATTTCAGACCTATCAGATTGGAGTCTTGAGGGTTGTGATTTTCCGAGTTTCTCAGAAACTCTTGTTAATACTGTTTCTTGATTAACGTTTATCCCAACATTTTCTTTAATTTTGTTGTTAGTTATGTTTGTTGAACATCATCTCCCTACTCACCTAGTTTAATGGTAATGATGACTGGACTTAACCAGAACTACCAACTAGTAAGTTTTTACCTTTCAATTATTTCCCTTGATTAGATCTGGCCAGAGCCATTGACTTAACCAGCATCTGCAACAAAGAAGGCCAATAGAAAGAGAGGGAATCCCTGTGTGAAGGGGAGTGTTTGTGAACAAAGGTCTCCCACACAGGGGCCCTCCAGGGAAGGTAGTTAACCTTTGGAAATTTGATCTTTCTGTCTTCTTCTTGACTCAACAGTATCAGTTTCTTTTGGAGCTCTTTGTGGAGATAAGCCAATAAAAGACCATAAATCTTTTTTACTAGGTGAAGCATTTACCATTCTAATTAGCCTTACCATTCAAAGGCTTTCATATTCCAGAAGCAAACACCAGGCATTCTGAGTGCTAGGGTTAAAGGGAATCTTAAATCAGGAGTGAGCACAGGTGGAGGTCATGAAGACTTAGACTTTAGTTATTGCCTGTGTGCTGACAGTCATCAGGACTTTACTGAGATACCACAATGCCGAACACACTTACTGTCCTAGGTTTTATGAGTAAGAGATAAAATCCAAGCCCAGTAATGTGGGTTTGTAAAGAAATGATTGTAATATATTACTTCTCTCTGGGTTATACTAAAGTAGGTCTGCACAAAATGTTAATGACTTCCCCAAAGCAGAGTCGTGTATGTTTCGCAAAGTGACACATAGGCTGGGTCCTGAAGCATGGATAGGAGTCTACTCAGTAAAACGTCGAACGGAAGGCTATTTACAGGCCACAAGGAAACGTGAATTTTGAGGGAGGAGGACCAGCCTCTCAGGAATTTCCCAGAGGCGGTCATCTCTTACTCAGCCCCACCCCGGGAAGGTGGTGGCGAGTGTGAGTGTGAGTGCGAGTCCCCTCAGCTGGCTTCTAATCCTACAGCTGCGCGCTGATAGGGGAATGAGAGAGGACACGGAAGGGTGGCAGGGTGGATGGGGTGGGGGTGTGGAGAGCCCTCCCGCGCATGCGCCCTGGCGGCCGGCCGGCTCAGCCGAGTCGGTTGGCCTGTGGCTCCCTCCCCACGCCACGCCTCTCTGGGGCCCACACACTTGGCCCTCAGAGCGAGCGCGCCGCGCGCCGGCGCAGCGTCTGGGCCGGTGGACGCCTGCGCACGAACGCCCTGGGCGCTCGAGCCGCGGGGTTATTAGAGGTGGAGCGCGGGGAGAGCGCGCGGCAGGAGGCGGCCGCTGTTACGGCGCGAGCGTGGTCACGTGGTCGCCGGTCACGGCCGCCGCCACCCCCCTCCCGCCCTGTTCTCTTTCTGGTCCGGTCGGGCCCGGCCGGTTCCACGAGCGCCCGGCAGAGACTGAGGGAGAGAGAGAGAAAGAGGAGGGGAGGAGGAGGAGGAGGAGGATTCAGGGAATAGGAGCTGGGGAGCCCTTCTGCGCCACAGGTAAAACAAGATGATGATGATCGTAAAAAAGCCCGAGCCCCCTGGGCGCCTCCGCCTCCCTCCAGTGCAGCCCCCACATTCAGTCGCTCCTGCCCCGGCCTCCCCCTCGGCTTCTTAGGACCAGTCCCGCCTTCCCCAGCGCCGCTGCTGCAGCTGCCGCCGCCTCACGGGAGGGCCTGAGGGTGCTGCTGCTGCTGCTGCTGTCGCCGCGAACGGGTAGTCGCACCGCCCCAGGTTGTGCGCCTCCCGGATGGGCATGGGGGCTGGGTGGCGGGAGGGAGGCTCCTCCGGCTCCAGGGCGGGCTCGGAGAGGAGTTGCTTCCCCCAGTCCGCCAGCCCGCCTTCCCTCCTTGGAGAGGTTGGGGTCCAGGCTGCAAAGGCAACTGCGGCGAGAGGGTAGAGCCTGGTGGCTGGCCGGGGGCTCCACTTCCTACTTGGTAAATTTCCCTGTTCGTTTCAGCCGAGGCAGCACGCTTCCTTCATAGGCCGGAAGCAAAACGGGTCCGGGATCCCCAAACCTTGTAAAACGCAGCCTTTAGGCGAGCGAAACCTTTCTCCTCTTTTAGAAAAGAAACGTAACCTTGTTTTAGTGCGACTTAAGTGTGTTCATCTGTAACAACCTGCAAGTTGAGGCCTTTAAGGGTATGAGAGAAACTTTGTGAAAGTGGATCCCTCCTTTTCCTGCAAAAAAACCAACACAAATTTAAACAATTTTCGGTTCTACACATGACCTAGAGTCTGTTCGATACCAGCTGTTGAATAGTTTTTAGTTTCAGGAAAATGACATGAAATTCACATCCTTTAGGTTTTTCTTTTTTTGCCCCCTTGAATGATGATTTTCAGGAATGAGTTGTATCCGTCAACCCCGAATTGGACTAAATGTCAAAATAGGGTACAGGTTGCACATCTTTGGGCCCGATTGCGCGGAGACATCTAGAACCAGTCATTATTTGTACTCTTTGTACAACAAAATGTAGTACCAGTCAAACTGTATGTTGTTAATGTGCTGTTGCACAAAATACTGACTTAAAGTAGAAAGTGTTAAGTGTAGGCATTGTTGAAAATCTTTACACTCAAGTTCATTTATATGCTGGTCATTTCTCTTAATGAGCTTTTCTGATTACATGTCTTTGGAATTTTCATACTCTCTCTAAATTCAAATGTAAACTTGAGTATTTAAAATTTTTTACAACTATGTGCAGTAGACAGAGCAGTGCTTCTCAAACTTTAATGTGCATAGGAATCCCTTGGGGCTCTGGTTTAAAAATGCAAATTCTGATTTAGTAGATCTGTGATGCATCTTGATATTCCGCATTTCTTATGAGCTCCTGGGTGCTGCTAGCCAAGGAACAATTCTTGAGTAGCAAGGATGTGGATAATGCGTGCTACGAAATAAAATGATGTGTCAGTAAAAAAGTTCCTTAATTCATTCTGAGTGTAGAGGTGGCTTGACAGAAGGGGCGGACGGCAAGATGAAATGAGAAAGCTGGCCTTAGGGAGATCCTTTGTGAACAGTGAGCAGGCTGTGTTGGGATCCCAGGGAGGGGATAGCAGGAGTGTGACTTGCCCCAACCTAGAAGAGTGCAAGTACCAGGTGTGGATCCTGTGGTGTATATACATCACGTGGTCCGTGAATTTTTCCAATGAAGCCTGGTGCACTCAGCTACGGATAGTTAGATTTCATCAGTTTAGAGCCTTTGTGTCTCTGAATCCATTGCTGGGAGGAAGATTGCTTTTGTTGCTATTAAGTGCGTGCTTTTTCTCTCAGATGCAGCCTTGGTTGAGCAATGCATTCCCGAGCCTTGGAAGCAGTCTTGTAAAGAATTTAGGGTCTCCACCTGTTGAGGTTATCCTTAATGGATTCAGATTTTTTTCCTAACCTAATTAAGAAAATGTAAATTGACAGGTTGAAAAGTGTCATACTTAACCTCGTACTTTTATGTAAATAAAAATGGTTGTACTTAACCTTTTAAAACTTTTTTGAAGTGTAACCTTGACTACTTTTAGCACTGTAATTTTTATAGTCTTCATCCTAGTCCTTACTTTACCATTGGTTTTTCATGTTATTAAATAATACGTATGACAGTACTTTTGAAGCACTAGTGTCAGACACTGTTCTAAGCACTGTATGTGTTTTAACTCTTCTGAGTCTCTTAACCATTTTTAAGGAAGCTGAAGCAGAGAGTGGGTAAAAGTCATATGCTAACACAGACCTGGGACTCTGGCTTGTTGACTCTAGAGTCCACGCTTTAACAATCTTCTCTATGCAGCTTTAAAAATTTTTTTTAACGTTTATTTTTGAGAGACAGAGTGCGAGTTGGGGAGGGGCAGAGAGAGAGGGAGATGCAGGCTCCAGGCTCTGAGCTGTCAGCACAGGGCCTGATGCAGGGCTGGAACCCACGAATCCTGAGATCATGACCTGAGCTGAAGTCAGACGCTTAACTTCCTGAGCCACCCAGAGGTCCTTCTGCAGCTTTTTGGGAAGAAAATAAATTGATGATACTTTTGAAAATTCCCTTTCCCTAGTATTGAAAATTATGAGCTTTGCTTTCTTTCCATCTTAAAATCCATATTTGTCATTTTTTTAAAAAAACTTCCCCCCGCTTTGCTTTCTTTCCATCTTAAAATCCATATTTGTCATTTTTTAAAAAAACTTCCCCCCCCATTGTATCCCATTTTAAAACGAATACTTGCCTCAATGCTTAATCTTTTCTGAATAAGAAACTGAAATATTGAAAAACTTTATTTTGTTTGCACCTGTTACCTGGACCAGTCTCTTTCAAGTCGGAAGTCACTGTTAAATGTGAAAGTAGTGTCTGCTTCCTTCTGACCCTGCTAGTTTTCAGTTCTGCATTTTTTGCCTATGCCTCTCTTCCATCTTTCACCACCTGCCGCCCTCTATGCATACATAATAGATTCAGCTTATATTTGTTATTCTAACATTTAGGATTTTGGGGCGGATTGATGGGGTCACTGACTTTTTATTTGGCCAGTAAGGGGGGGGGGCACCTGAGTGACTCGGTTGGTTAAGTGTCCGACTTCAGGTCAGGTCATAATCTCACAGTTTGTGGGTTTGAGGAGAGCACTGGGCTCTGGGCTGACCGTGCGGAGCCTGGAGCCTGCTATGAATTCTGTGTCTCCCTTTCTCTCCCCCTCTGCCACTCATGCTCTGTCTCTCAAAAGTAAATAAACATAACAATTTTTATTGGCCAGTAAGAATAACAATCTAAGCATGAGTCATTGTTACCATATTTTAATACTGAGAAAGTACTAAGCACAACCTCAGAATAAAGGATGATTTAAGTTAAATAATTGGTTTTCATAAGAAAATTAATATGTCACCTGTCCCTCCTCCCCTTTTGTCTCAGACCATTGGAAGCTTTGTTCTGCATTAGCACCAGTGTGAGGAATGAGGCTTATATACCTGGTCTAATACATTTCTCTTAATGTGGAAAAATGATTAGAATGGCAGTAAAATTATAGTGTGTGTACTGGAACTTGAGAAATGAATTTTGTTGGGGGGCGGGTAGTGAGAAGGGAGAGCCTATGGGCTGATTGGAGTAGCATTAATTTTTCATTAATTGGGATAGTAGTTTGGAAAGGAAGTCTGTATAACAGCAAATCCGTTGTGAATGTTTTCTCCCAAAGTTCATCCTCTGTTGTGTTGTCTATAGTAATGTTATGCTGTTCAGTTACTTAGCCTCATAGTGCCTCACTTTTCTCATCTTTGAAGTGAGGATAGTAATAGTAAGTACTTCACATGGTTTTGAGGATTACATGAATAGATTTGTGTGTATATGTTTATATGTGTTAGTATAGCATATATGTATGTATACATATATAAAACCTAATGTCTGATCTATCATTTGTTAGGTACTATGTTTTGTTATGGATAATCTGCAGGGTGGTTGATCATATCTACATAAAGAAGACTGACTGTATTTGAATGAAATTAATGGAAATTGTACATTAATTTGGTATAAAGCTGTGTGGGCCCCGAAAACAGAAGATGTACTTTTTGGATAAAAACACAAAATTGGGGGGAGCGTCTGGATGACTTAGTCTGTTAAGCATCCAACTTCAGCTCAGGTCATGATCTCCGCCTGCTTCAGATCCTCTGTCTTCCTCTCTGTGCCCCTCCCCTGATCACGCTTTCTTGCTCTCTCTCACTCTAAAAAATAAGTAAACATAAGAAACAAAGACGGTAGAGTAATGCTCTTATCCCTTTGGAGAATTAAATATGAATAAATACAGTTTGGCCACTCAGGTTTTTCAAAACAAGGAAGAAAGGCTGTAGAAATAAAAGATGTCTTTGATGATTTAGGATTGGTTTACAATTTTCAAGTCTTGAACAAGGTAACCTTTTTTCTGAAGGCTTTTCTCACTATAACTTTTGCCTCCCTCAGTGGACTCCTTTGCTCCTTGAAATCCATCTGTCCTTTCATACTCCAGACCTGGTCCACAGCCCCTTATCTAAAACCCATGGTGACATATGTGTCTCAGAAGTTAAATTTTTGGGATTTAGAAAATAAGATGTATAGGCTCTATATCATGAAAACTCCTGTGGATAGGAACAGTCACCCCATACGTGTACATATTAATTTTCCCAGCAAAATTATACATGTTCACACTAGGTAGAATCAAAAGGAGGACAGAAAGCCTCCTGTTAGTTAGGCTATGTTTTGTTGACAGCCTAGAAAACAATTTTAGTTTTGGAGCTTTTTGGATTTTTGGAATTGGAGATAGGGCTTGAGATATCTTTCTTTCCTTTATTAGAAAAAGAACTGGAACATAGGACTTGTGTGTTAGCATTTTGCATCTTTAGCTCCTCTTCCAGGACTTGGCACACAGTAGATGCTCCTTAAATGTCCACTTGTTTGGATGAAAACATCTAAGTATAATATGGTTCATGGTTCGTTCAGTAATTGTTTTGTGCTACATGTGGTATCAGTGGCTGACTCTATGAAAATACTTTCTGATTGCAGATTTATTATTTTTCT